GATATCGGATAGTAATGATCAAACACGATGGACGGCTCAGATTAAAAGGAGATTGATATAAATAATCATCTTCACACCAAACTCTAATCCTAGCCGCCAGACCACTCCTGCTGGAGAAGAATACCTAGTCACTAGGAAGGGAGTCGACCGCCGCCGCCGCCACGTCGGAACCACTTCCGACTGCTAAAAGAGGTAAAAAAAATTTATTTACTCGAAATTCGATTTTAAACACCTCTATGACTAAATTGGAACAAAAATACTGACAGATTAACCGAAAACTGTAGACAAATCCTGACGGTGCCGCTGCGGAAAAAAGTAAAAATTACCTCTGATGAGACCCTTTCCGATTCCTATTTCGTGTAATGTTACTACCATCTTAATCACTATTCCTTTCTATATAGGTTACCATAAGCAAAATACCCAACCGCAAAGGTGAGCCGGTAGAGCCACCGCATCGAAGAACCCTATCGCCGGTAAGTTTCAGTTTTTGTGACTTTTTTCGGCCAATGGAAGCTCCTTAATGTGTTTTCTCACAGGTATTGGTACAAAATTGGCCAAATTTGGCCAAAAAGGTCAAAAACAGCCGACTCGAAATAAATCGCCACCGCGGACAGCGGTGCCGTCATCGGAGCACAGTGGAGTCGCTGTGTCAGAATTTTGAAATTGGCCAAAAAGGATTCCTGACAGTAATTTTGAATTTTTGGGATATTTTTAGGTACTTGAAGCGCGTTTTAATCTCTGAAGAAAAATTCAAGGAACTCGGGGACCGACAATGAGCGTAGTCAAAAGTTTAGCATTTTGGACATCAATTTGAGTAAGAATCTCTCACTTTATTCCCTGTTATGAAATTAAATTTTAATTTTAAATAATATAGTATTTATTGAAACTTAGAAAACATTCGTAATTATTATAGATTACTAATAGAGTCAGAACTAGTTATTTACTATTGTTTGTTATGTTTAACCGATTGCCCTGATTTTTATAATTTTTGAGTGCACGATAATACACTGAAATTGGTAATGATGATGTGATTGTATTCCTTTGATGCATGTTTTTACTTGTTTTGTGTGATTTACGGTTGAATTGGAAAATTAAAAATTAAAGGTAAACAAGAAATTATTTGATTAAGTGGATGGATGAAATGACAGCCTTACTGGATATCCTAGAAAATGGTGGACAGACCTGGTACATAGGGAATCTTACCCTAAATGTTGCCTCATACCGGATGAAGTATCGAGATTTGGTAATTTGGTACTCATACGGGACGAGGTATGGGGACGACCCGTTTCACCCTCATACCGGATGGGGTATTGAAGGATTGTATCTTTTGGCGCTCAAACTGGACGGAGTATAAGGACGGTCCGTTAATTGAAAATGTAAAAAAGAGGGTTCACGCATAGTGGGGACATCTATATGGACCCCCATGGATACCAGTAGGCTGATAAAAGGAAAAGTTATTGTTCCGACTGATCCTATATAAAACTATGATATGTGTTATGTTATTAACTTTATAGGTTATTTTTCGTAATCTCATTATAGTAAGTATGCAGTAAATGATTTTGTTTATAAAAAATGAATTTACTTAAATTAAGAGCTCCATTAGTCGTTTTTATAATTTCTACAAACTTTTATTTCTGTATCAGTGAGTAGCGTGATATTCTTACTGGGCTAGTGTGGTTCACTCTTTCATTAACCATTTCAGCTCAAGAGGATCAGGATCGAGAGCTCGATCCACAAGAGGGTTGCGAGTAGGACATTCAGTTTATTTGCTTTTAATTTATTTCTTTAGTTATTAGTTGTTCTTTTAGAAGGGTTATTCCCGTAAACCCTATTTGGTACTTTCAGTTATTGTATAAGGAATGTAAACCCTAATTTATTATTTCGCTTCTGCACTAAATTTATAATTTATCATATTTGGAGTTTCCGGGGTCGTTATAATATAGCAGAATAATATGCAATTTAGGCAGTATAGAAAAATAAATAAACACATAGACGAGCTTAGGGTAATTGTATATTGACTAGTTTTTCGGCTCCACTAGTGACCTGTAATTATTGTTAGAATTTTTCTAATTTTTACAAAACACAAGATTACCGACTTATTAAATCTCCATTAACCGTAACAGAAAATAAGATAATGGATCTTTACCTGAATCGGTATTTCGACGCACTGTGCTACCCACTACGCCTCTTGATGGGTCTCGAATTTCTTGAGTTTTTCATGAGAAAATCAAAATATTCGTCACATACCCAAAAATACTCCAAAAATCCAAAATCGATGTTGAAAACTTTTTTACACCTATTTTAGGGTTCAGGCATGACAATACCACCGTGCTCCAGCGCTAGCCCTGGTGCCCACGGCAGCGGTTCGTCTGGGCTTGGTCAGTTTTGACTAGTTTTATACGTATTTCTACGAAAAAATACGTTAAGAAGTCTCGATTGACCATAAAAATAAAAAAACCGAACCTACCAGCAGGTAGGGGTCTCCAGGTGCAGTAGCTCCGCCGGTTCTCCTTCGCAGCTAGGGTTTCTTCTTCAGTTAACCTGTACAGAAGGAGATGGTGAATACAATAATTAAATCATCGTGTGAAATAGGAAACAGAAAGGGGGTCATCGGAGAAAATTTAGGGTTTTGGCCACGGCAGCTTTGCCCACAGTTTTCAGCTCACTCGCCATCCTTTTTGCTTCAATATGGCCACAGGGAGGCTAGGAATTGAATTCCGAGCAGGGGGAGATTTTATCTTTTTTTGCGGTTGACGGTAGCTCCGGTGCGGTGGTGGTTGATTGTTGGTCTCCTTATCCAGTGTCTTGTTCTTTTTCTCCAGCGAGGACAAGTGTAGCTAGGGTTAGGATTCTCTGAAATATGATGTTTAAATATCCATATCGTGTCAATCTAGACCGTCCACTCGAGGGTACATGACCCTCTTTTGTCCGTTGGATCTATCTTATTCGAGGAATGAATATGAGCCGTACGATCGATTGAATCTGACCGTTCTATCGGGCCTAAAGAGAGAACACATATAGGTTGTTCACGTG